ATTCCACAACTACCAGTTCCGCACCGAAAAATGGTATTACATTTAAATTTTACTCATAGTTCAACTTGCAAGAAATTTACTATGGAATTCATATAATATTACACTTAATATTTAATTACCTATCTCAATATATCAAAATTTAGTTAATAATATGATAATAAAATTATAATATTTAAAGTTGAAACCACTACTGGTTACGATACCAGTGGCAGCCAACACCTAAAACCACAAAATAAAATTAACCAAAGAAGAATAAGTGTGACACGGAAATACACGAAACCTAATTCAAAATATGCACATTATTCTTGTCTTGCCAATAATTACTTTCCAATTTCCTAAATTTTTCCCCATTAGATCACGTGAAGGAAGAAAGTAATTTGCAACTAATTAACTCTTCTTTTATTTTTCAACCCAATAAAATTAAATATTGAATTCCAAATTATCTCAATATTGTACTACTACATACTTTGTTCACCTGAAGCACTCGTCGGCCTCTCTGCTAATTGTGTTACCGTCGCTAAAGTTCCCTTTGAGTTTATGACACAAGATAGGAACCCCTAATTATTATTATGACTAATTATGGGAATGGTAGAAGTAGTCCACTACTAATTTTAATGTTATTATCTTTAATCACCAATTAAATTAATTATAAAAATTACCTCCCTTAATTATATAATTGTAGTTATACGAATAGTCCAAAATACTTATTTAGAATCCATCAGAAAAGTCTTTTATGAAATAAAAAGCTCTAGTACTCAAAACGATCAAATGGATCGTTACAAAAAGTTTAAAGGAGGCTTATGATATAACACAAAAAGTATAATTATATATATTTTTTAAAAATGAATAAACAAGGGGATACATTTTTTATGAGTCCGAAACCAAAAGGGCAACAATTTTTTTCAAAAATTCCAAAAGGGCAACTCAATTAATTATGAAATCAAAAGGGTAACAATTTTTAACACCGTTTAAATTAGGTTTTCTAAAACGAGGCTCAAATTCCGATGAGCCTTGTAAGGCTCAGCCGCCAATGAGCCTTACAAGCTGTTATTTTTATTTTATTTTAAATTTCGTTTTATTTTCTTGTTTGTTAAAAGTCTAATAATAATAATACATAGTTGTTGATATGATGCATAAAGATACACACGTTTCTATCTAGACGGACATATACATGTGAATCTGTAGTGTGGTTTCTTTCAATGAAGATAGAGACAAGTAGACAACTGTTGTTACCCTTTTTTTCTTTTTATGTTATATTATATATTAAATTAAAATCTGTAAGATTTAGTCCAACTAAGGAAAAAATAATAATATTAAAAGAGGTTCAAATTTATTCTGCTCTAATAGTAGAATTTCATGGGGATAAAAGAATTTCATAGAAATAGCGTTATTCCCACCAATCACTTTTCGGTCATATCTTTGAAAAATAATTGTTGTTTCTAAAATTTTAAATTTAACATGTAAAAGTCTTATGATACTACTTTATTTATAAAATTATAAGACGGTAAATTTAAAAAGTTATAAGACGGTAAATTTTAAATTTAACATGTAAAGTTGTCCTTTTTGCTCCATAGTCGTTTATTATGCAAGTCAACATATAGTGATTGTTATTCTTAATTATATTCTTTCTTCAAGACCATGTCAAAGCACATGAATACGTGTTGAATCGTTCAAAAATACATTTTTTTTCACGATAATTATTTTAGATAATTTGATATTATTTAGTACAACATGTAAGGAAACATGATAGAAAATATAAAAGACAACACTTCTAGATATTTCAAATAGAAAATATAAAGGACAACAATTCTACGATTTTCAGTTGCTTGTAGTTCATAATTAACTAAGCTAAATCTTCAATGAAATGACTTCAAATTTCATCAACAAATCACTTTAAATATCTCATAAAAATCAAATTTGAAGTTAAAACTTTCTCCTTTAAATTTGAAATCCTTTAACTTGATTGTTATCTCCAAGAACATGACATTACATCATGATGTTGTAGAATTAACTAACACTCAAGTTCTTCTGCCTGTGAATGTAAGCAAAGTAAAGTTACACTCGAATTCTTCTGCCTGTGAATGTAAGCAAAGTAAACTTACACTCGAGTTCTTCAGCCTGTGAATGTAAGCAAAGTAAACTTACATTCTAGCCTCTTCGCCTTGTAACAAAAGGCATTCTAGCTTCTTCGCCTTGTAAAAAAAAGAGATAACATGATTGTTTCCATCCGAATTAATTTGGTGAAGTCTTATTTCAAGAAGGTACTTTCCATTCTTACTATTGCTACTAAAATTTGGATAGCATCTAACAATTTTTTTTATGTAGATTTCATGTTGAAAATGATGTGTTAGCAAAACCATTGTGAATATATGATAACTCTACAAGAGTTGGTATATATAGAGAAAATAATAAGTTTATCACTTTGTTAGTTTATGACTTTTGTAAATTTTTGAGAAATATAAAAATTACTCAAATAAGTTAGGAAGTGTTTGATGAACAAGGTTAAACCTAACTTAAATTTTTATTGAAATAATTAAAACAGTAGAAGTATGTTTTCCCTTAGTTTTTATTTTTTTTCTTAAAAACGATTTTTAAGTCAATTCAAACGCCTATTATTTTTTTAAAAAAATAATTCACATAACACTTTTTTGTGTTGAATCAATTCAACACTTAAAAAATTTAACACGCAAACTCTTTATCTATATTTAAAAACCTTGCAGTGTTGATTTGAATCAACAGTGCAAAATTTTATTTTCAAGTAAAGCAAAAGCAATTGTCATGTCACTTCAGTCTTGAGGAGAGGCACATGGTATGTTGGATGTTGTTCCTTGAAATGCACATAGGCCATTGTGCCATAATTTTTGGATTGACACTTATAACTTTTAATATTCATGTTTATGAGTAACAAAATTGAGTTCCATTTATTTTAAGCATATAGTTAAATTTTTAATATTATAAAAACAATTTGTCAGTATCAAAATAGTAATAAAGACATAATACACTTTACAATAAAAGATACAAATAATCGAATATAATAATTAAGTGATATGATAATCATAATTTATATAATGTTACATATTTTAATTCTTCATCAATATTTGGTACAACATCAACTTCATCATTTATATATCAATTTGGACTCGTATTTTTTGTTTGCTCAATTAAGGATAACTGATTTATACAACAATACGGCACACCAAAATTCAGTGTTTCTGGTAAAAAAAAATTGTAAACCAGTCCCAATTGAATAAACGGGATATGTAGAATCTCTATGTAACTTTTCGTCTTCTAGTAGATTCCAATGTTCTTCTTCATTTGCTCCCTTATAGTTAAGATCGTCTAATGAATGAAATATCTCTAAAGCTTTTTTCATTTCATTGATTTCCTTGGACAAATATTCAATAACGACTGCTTCATCTCTAAACTTGCATGTTTGATAAGTAGCCGACAATGCTTGTGGAATTAGCAAACCATGCCAACGACATAAAACTTCGTAATCACACCTCTTCGAATATAAACCAAGCCACTCGAGCGTTTAGCCCCAAATAATAAAATCATCCATTTTAGAAGAATGTGGTTCTCCCTCAATGATGTGTCCTGCAACTTGTAAATCATAATAAATATTGATTGGTTTATTTTCTAATGGACAATTTTTTTCATACCATTTTCTTCCCGACAAATCGGTGTAACACCCAAATACTTTTCTACCATCTTTTGAGATACTATTATTATTATTTTTAGTACTATCAAACCAACTTTGTAATTTCATTTTTTTTTTTTGCATTGTTGAAAAAATATGTTTTCAAAATATGCATGAAACACATTCTACTATATTATAAAAGAGAGTTTAGGGCCAAGTATAATATATAATATTCAAGATTGGGAAAAGTCCCAATCTTGAATATTATATATTATACTTGGCCCTAAACTCTCTTTTATAATATAGTAGAATGTGTTTCATGCATATTTTGAAAACATATTTTTTCAACAATGCAAAAAAAAAAAATGAAATTACAAAGTTGGTTTGATAGTACTAAAAATAATAATAATAGTATCTCAAAAGATGGTAGAAAAGTATTTGGGTGTTACACCGATTTGTCGGGAAGAAAATGGTATGAAAAAAATTGTCCATTAGAAAATAAACCAATCAATATTTATTATGATTTACAAGTTGCAGGACACATCATTGAGGGAGAACCACATTCTTCTAAAATGGATGATTTTATTATTTGGGGCTAAACGCTCGAGTGGCTTGGTTTATATTCGAAGAGGTGTGATTACGAAGTTTTATGTCGTTGGCATGGTTTGCTAATTCCACAAGCATTGTCGGCTACTTATCAAACATGCAAGTTTAGAGATGAAGCAGTCGTTATTGAATATTTGTCCAAGGAAATCAATGAAATGAAAAAAGCTTTAGAGATATTTCATTCATTAGACGATCTTAACTATAAGGGAGCAAATGAAGAAGAACATTGGAATCTACTAGAAGACGAAAAGTTACATAGAGATTCTACATATCCCGTTTATTCAATTGGGACTGGTTTACAATTTTTTTTTACCAGAAACACTGAATTTTGGTGTGCCGTATTGTTGTATAAATCAGTTATCCTTAATTGAGCAAACAAAAAATACGAGTCCAAATTGATATATAAATGATGAAGTTGATGTTGTACCAAATATTGATGAAGAATTAAAATATGTAACATTATATAAATTATGATTATCATATCACTTAATTATTATATTCGATTATTTGTATCTTTTATTGTAAAGTGTATTATGTCTTTATTACTATTTTGATACTGACAAATTGTTTTTATAATATTAAAAATTTAACTATATGCTTAAAATAAATGGAACTCAATTTTGTTACTCATAAACATGAATATTAAAAGTTAAATACTTATATTACAAAGGATTTCTACGAGGACAACGAACCTTGGTGTGTCTCGTTTCCTTGCATATACTACACTTTCTTGACATGCGAGCTGGAGCGATATCCATTTCATTCTTGCGTCGCCTTGTGCATTGATTAGTAGATGTTCGCAAATATTCATTATTTGCAACCAAACTAAATGTGACAGGAGGCCAATAAATTTCATCCCCCACTGGCGTAAAAGTAGCATTATAGGTTCGTTTGTAATACTTCGTGGTGTAGTATTTGCTCACATAAGTTTTTGGCTCGATACCACAAAGACCACAAAGTTTGATTGCATGAGAGCAAGGTATATGATAATTTACCCATTTGCCACAAGAACATATTTTGGCATCTGCAAAATTTTTGTGAACATTTCCTCCTTTGCCATTGTGTGCAAATGTAAGGATCTCAAATACAGCTGGAGTAGTACTATAGTTCATCATTCCAGTATGTGCTTGAGCTTTTCTCCAATTTTCATTGAATCGTTTTTCCACGCTAAGAGGCCAAGACTTATTTTGTTCAAGTAAAGCATTAGCAAGGGTGCTTCGTTCAACAAAACGATCAATCAAAGCTTTAACTGTCAAGCGAACCATAGCTGTGATTGGAAGCCCCCTTGCTTTCTTCAACACACCATTATACGACTCAGATACTTTGGTTGTCAAAGAACCCCATTTATGACCGTTATCAAGGTACATAGTCCATTTCTCCAAAGGAAGATCATTTAACCACTTAAAAACTTCAGCGTTCAATGTTTGAATTTGTTGCATTGTTTGAACAAAAAAAAATTCTTGATTCTCCGTCGCAGCATACCACATTAGATTTTCAAGTTCACTATTTAAACTTTTTTATTAAAATTTGCTTTCATATGACGAACACAAAATCGGTAGTATGTCATTGGAGGTTGCAACCAATCGAAAGATTGAACACATTTTAAGATACCTTGATGGCGGTCAGAAATAAGTCCGATTCCTCTACGCGCGACAACAACATGCTTCCATAATAATGCCAAGAACCATGACCAAGATCCAAAAACATTTCTGTTCGCATCAATAGTGACAGCAATTAATAATTTAATATCATACTTGCCATAAAGATGAGTTCCATCTATAGAAATAACAGGCCTGCAACTTTTGAAGCCATCGATGCATACTTTAAAACTCCAAAATAAGTACTTGAAAATTTGCTCACCTTGCATCGTTGTTGAATGGTGCTCCCACTCAACAATAGTACCTGGGTTAAAAAATTGTAAAGCCGTCATATATCTAGGTAAAGCCTTAAAGGAATTTTCAAAGTCGCCATACACCATAACAAACGCCTTCCTTCGAGCTTTTTGGGCTTTTCTATAACTGGGAGTGTAGTGGTGCAATCCTTTGATGATTTCTTGAATCATCTTTATTGCAATATTGGGATTTTCAATAATATAAGGAATCAATCATGTTGCTATTCAAATTGTAATGATCCTCCTTATATGTATCTGGATTACAACTGTGGTCAATCATTTTACCTGCCTTTCACATATCACCGCCTGTCTTGCGAAAACGAATCATCCACTGACATCCCAACATATTATTTTTGCAGATGACCTTCCAACTGTTTCCTTTGGATTGATCACACAAGAACTCTGTCCCTTTAGCAATATTGTACATTCTCACTGCCGATTTCATTTGTTTTTTATTTCTATATGTAATGATACAAAAAAAAATCGATTAATTAAATGAAAAAATATTTATCATTAATTTACATAATTTTATGTTTCATGAATCAAACCCGACTTAATGTTTTTAGGATTCTTTTCATTCCCTAGTGGAGCGTTGTCAAGAACGTTAAATCCGGATTCGTCTGCAAAATCTTTCGTATAATCCAAATATGGAATGGCTTCAAAAGATGAACTAACAGTGATTATTTTTACAGTGTTGAATTAAATCAATGCTATACAAGTTTCACGCGGTATATGTTTCAACGAAAATAAAAAATAAAATACTTCAATTAGTAGTCAAAAACTATTAGATAAAGTGATAAAAAATAGTTAAAAGAATACTATATTAAAATAACAAACAAACTAAATTTTAAAAAAATTAATCAAAAACTATACATATAAAAATAAAAAACTAAACGTTTTGAAAAAAAAAACTCACAAGGCTACTTGCCCCTTGAGCCTTGTAAGTTCTTACACATTTACACATTTTCACTTTCACGTGAAACTTCAGTGTTGAATCAAATCAACACTGTAGTTTTGCGTGATTTATTTGTACAGTGTTGAATTAAATCAATACTGTACAAGTTTCACGCGGTATATGTTTCAACGAAAATAAAAAATAAAATACTTCAATTAGTAGTCAAAAACTATTAGATAAAGTGATAAAAAATAATTAAAAAAATACTATATTAAAATAACAAACAAACAAAATTTTAAAAAAATTAATTAAAAACTATACATAAAAAATAAAAAACTAAACGTTTTGAAAAATAAAAAATAAAATACTAAACGTTTTGACGACCATGCACTATAAAAACCATGCATTTGACAACTCCACTTCCTACTCCTATTTAAAGAAATCTATCAAAGTTGTGCAAGTTATAAAATTTTGCAAACTTTTGAAGAATCAAGACAATATAAGGTAATTTAATGATAACTTTATTTTTTTTTATCATTTATATGTTTTATTAATTATTTCATCTTAAGTTATAGTATTGATAATGATGTAATTTATTTTTTTCATTTTGATATATAGATGAATCAAGAAAATTTTGCATATCAAGGACCAATTGAGTATGATGATTTAACGTTACAAGATAAACATCGATCTCAAAAAATTTGGAATGGTGAAATATCTGCGACGGAAACACGTTTAATAGTGCGGAGACATGATTATAATTTATGGCAACACTTAAAAAACAATCCGCTTCATACACGTATACTAAATTATTTTGATTACACAAGTTTTAGAGGTGTTCTAGAAGTAGGAAACTTTTCATGCGATGCAAATATTATTACTGCTTTGGTTAAAAGGTGGCGTCCAGAGACTCATACCTTTCATATGAGAACTGGTGAAACAACAATAACTATGCAGGATATGAAAGTTATGTTCGGTATGGTTGTTGAAGGTACATTTCTTCTACTACCAAACGCTAAATCCATGGATTTGTTTGCTAGACAAACTTTAATTTTTAATTTAACCGGTTGGTTTCCTACGGAAGATTGCTTTCAAAGTTTTAGAATTGTTTCATCGTCATTAGTTAATTATATAGAAACTTCAAATGTAATAAACGATAATTCCACTGAACTAGAGGTACAACAAAAAATTAGATTATACTTATTTTGGTTGCTTGGAGGAACATTATTTCCTGATAAGTCAGGAAATAAATTTAATTCGAATTTTTTCATTGAAATGGGTGACTTACAAGCACTAGTAACACAAGCTTGGGGAGCTGTCACACTTTCATACTTGTACCATTCATTATGTCGCGCCTCTATATGCGACGTTTTCGTTATAAATGGTTTTATATCATTATTACAGAATGATCACCTTTATATTTGTAATTATTATAATTGACTATTTTTAATACTAATAATAAAAATTATTTATTATTTTATAGGTATGGGCGTGGGAGCGTATTATACCATTTCAACATATGCTATCGCCTTTACAATGATCAACCAGAGGGACAAAAATCACTTGTATATAAGTGGTCTCGACGAAGGGTTCATGAGAATGATGCTCGAAAAATATGATCTTTTGTAGAGATGTTTTAGACAATCTACAACCTTATCAAGTATAACTAAAAAAAAATTAGTTTATTACAAGATTTAAAACGGTAAAAAAAATGTATGATATATATGTTAACTTTTTTTTTTCTATAGTTTATTTGGGAGTCTTATTCTCAAGAAGTTCTTAATGCACTGCATGAATGGTGTCGACGAGGGAAGAACGTGTGGATGGTGAAGGTGCCACTTATTTTCGGAATATATCATGAGTGGCACCTGGTTGATCGTGTAGTAAGACAATTTGGTTTGGTGCAACATATACCAGTAAATGTGCATTATTCTGATGAGCATTATAAAATCGATAAGTGCCACAAAATAGATAGGCATACTCATCAGATGTTTGTTCATACTGAAAATACATGGAATGAACGTTATCAACATGTTGTACAAATAAATCATCAAGCAAACCCAATTGATTATTTCAATTGGTATCTATGACATTCACGCAAGTTCATTGCAAATGCAGAACATGTTGTCCAACATGGATATCAACCAATCACAGGAAGATATGAGGCATTGGTATGCATTTTAAAAAAAATACATTATATATATATATGAATTTTAGGTAATGGGACATGAAAGATTGTATAGAATGAATCAAACAATAGAAAATGATAATACTCAGTCATTTCAAGTGGGAGACATTGCAAGACAAATGACATCTTATTCTAGAGATGCTATGAATGGTGCTCATTTGAATACACGGTTGAACTTTCAACAACATTATACTCCACCAAATGAAAATCAATCACCAACAACATCAAATTCAGGAGGTGTTCATATAGAAGAACATAATACGGGATTTTCGGGAGATCAATATGAGGCCAACACAAATTTATCATTGGCTACTCCCGACACCTCGTATTACCCTATTTTTTACCGTGCTGGAGTATCTACGAGTGTGCCCAACTACACACAAGAAGAAGGTAGTGGCTTTCAAACTCCTAATGTTGTAAATTTGGGTTTTGAAGAATTCAACGAAGGAAATTAAGGTTTTGTACGACAACGTCAATTTCAAAACTCACCATTTTATGCTGGGAGATTGAGTTTTTCGACGGTAAACAATATACTCTTTAAATAATTTATAGAATATTTTATTTATATTAAATTATATGTTAATGATTTACATATTATTCCAGGATGACATGTCACAAAATCAAAAATGATGATGAAGTTGGACCTTCACAACAATATGTATGTTGTTATAATCGATAAATTTTCAATTTTGACATTTATAAAATATTAATAGAATTCAATAATAAATATAATTTGGCAGGACGTCAATAACCCTCGAAGAACAACAAGGCCACACGTACCCATCACCTGTGGAACCGGTAGACATAAACAACAACAACAACCGCATCAAGACAGACGATAATCTCTAGAAGTGTTGTCTTTTATATTTTCTATCATGTCCCTTATATGTTCTATCATTTTTTTACAAATTATATAAATATATATATATATATATAAAATTGAAGTTTTCGAACTCTAACATATATGCATGGTTCATGTTTACTATAAATTATTTAAAGAGTAAATTGTTTTTTTTTATGCTTGTAAATCACCCATTTCAATGAGAAAATTCGAATTAAATTTATTTCCTGACTTATCAGGAAATAATGTTCCTCCAAGCAACCAAAATAAGTATAATCTAAATTTTTGTTGTACCTCTAGTTCAGTGGAATTATCATTTATTACATTTGAAGTTTCTATATAATTAACTAATGACAATGAAAAAATTCTAAAACCTTGAAAGCAATCTTCCATAGAAAAACCAACCGGTTAAATTAAAAAAACCTCTAGTTCAGTGGAATTATTGTTTATGCATCATATCAACAACTATGTATTATTATTATTATTAGACTTTTAACAAACAAGAAAATAAAACAAGAATATTTATTTTTTTTAAAATAACAGCCTGCAAGGCTCATTGGCGGCTGAGCCTTGTAAGGCTCATTGGAATTTGAGCCTCGTTTTAGAAAACCTAATTTAAACGAT